ATAATTAAACAAATACAAATGATTTGTATTAAATCTAATACATAAAAATACAGTGTAACCTCGCTTATCGAGGAAAATGAATTGTAAGAAAAATGACTCGCTGAACGTGCGACGTTTCGCATTATTGCACGTCTGCTACATTATTTTTAAAACTTGTCTACACATATTATGTATATTTTTGAATATGTTCACTATACGAGTAAAAATCCCGAAATTTTGGAACTCGTTAATCGAGGTTACACTGTAATTAATCTTATTTTTTAAATTTATCTCTGTTTAGATGGAATGTACATGTATATAAAATGGTTTATCTTAAAGCATAAATAAAGTATTTTAATGTCAAGATTGCAGCACGTAGAGTAATGGTACACGAAGCGCGTTTGGAATAAAATTCTGGCTCATTCGGCCAGAACGAAATATAAATAGAACGTAGTGCCATGAATGAAATAAAGTAAGGACTTGCAAAAAAAAACGAGCAGAGGCGTGTAACCGAGAGAGTAATATAAATAGGATCGCATATATCTCTGGTTACATAGAAAGCAATTGCAATTTAGCCGTGCATTCGAGAAGCTGAAAAAGTATTCCATCGGTCAGAAAAATGGACCTGTCACATGTGACAGGTAATATCATAGACTTTAATTTGTTTTATACACAAATGTACAATCTGGGAAAACATTAACTTTAGAATAAAACAAGATTAATCTAATTTATCTTTCAAAAATAACAAACATTTTATTGCAACAATATCACAAAAAATACACAATCTGTTCATCAATGTGAACAATTTAAGATTGCGGTTGATATTAAATAAATAAGCTTTCCCGGTGGATAGTTATCATTATGATGATTTTGAACATTGATAATTACTTAAATCTATATACTAAATCTAGTGGTTTGCAACGTTTCAGCCTGTTTGTGGTTTCACTGTTGTCGAGTAGGCCAATAGCCAGAACATTAGTATATGACTCCAGTCTATCTTGATATCTACTACTAAATGTTGCTATTGTATCCAATACTTATATGAAAATCTTTGTGTATTTGTTTATTCCTGACAAATCATGGAGCCATAAAAAGATTTCTTAGGAATTTTGAACCTTTGTATAATTTGTATGTTCGATTCAGTATTACTTTGCATATAAGTAATTTATTTTCCACTGATAATTTCCCTAGAAGTCAATAGACTTTTCTAACCTTTATTTCTAATTGCTCCCTTTTAGCCTGAATGTAATATTTCCAGGTGAGTCTTCTGTCTAGATGCATGCCTAGATATTTGACTTTTGTTGCTTCGGGCAGATCTTGTCCATTAATACTTACAGTTGGGCAGGTGCCTTTCTTTAGCATGAATGTGATATGCACGGATTTCATTTTGTTAACTAAATAACTTATAGAAAATATATTATTTCAAAAGTATTTTTGTAAGTTGATTTATAATATAATTAGTTCAAGTCGGAAATACAAAAAAAAATATGTATTGATTCATTATTAACAAAAATATTGGAAGACACAAAGTTTGCAAATTTTCATGTATTAATTTAGATATTTTTTTAAATCTTTGATAAGATATTAACTATATTTCTTGGGCAATCCTTAAATACCCAATATCACTCTACTCCATAACACCCTTCCATCAAAACAAAAGAATACTATAATTTTAATTGAAAACCAAATATTCATGATTTCATTAAAAAGCTCCAAGTCCGCATATCCTAGTTTTATTGTATTTTTAGACTTATGGACACAATAATAGTTGCTTAAAATGTATTTTAAATAAAATTCAAAAGATTAAACTGAAAACTTCACCCAAATAAGATGAAACTCTTCGTATACGATATTATATCATATAAATATACATTTTCATGCTTACCGTTTAGTATATGTACATAAGTGCTTGCAGGATGTGCGTTACTGGGAACGCATGAGTAATTTCCAGAATGTCGAATGGCTGCATTGGTAATGGTGAGTACGCTAATCTTCGCATTGAGTTCCGTGGTCACGTTGATCCCCCGGTCATCATCGTAGTTGATCATCCGGTTGTTGTGGTACCAGAAAACGTAGATCGGCGGTTCGGTGCTCTGAAGCACGGTGCACAGCAACCTCAGACCAGATCCAGGATTGACAATCTTCTCGGATGGACCGGAAATATCAGCTTTGGCTTCTAATGAACGACAAAGAAGAATATAAAATAAACATATTAAACAGTTTTTGGCGGCAATTGCGGCACTGGAAATGCTTCAACCCCGCAATAATTGCGCCAAATCGTCTGTTTTGTAGATTGGCTCCCTTAATTTAAAGAGCTAACCTAAGGGAAATCTTATAATTTTAACGTTAAAATTCACGATATTAATTAATCTCTAGACTTCAATTAAGAGCCAAAAGTGTGTATCATAAAATAAACTTTCTTTTTTAAAAAACGCTTTAAATTTCCTCCTACATTCAGAATAACTCATACGCAAACTTCATTTATTTTAATGAACCGGAAGTTCTAGCTGCGACTCTCCTATTTCCTTTGACGATTTTACTTTTCAACTCCTTCCGTAAGATTTACTGCGTGTCCTGAGGGTTGAAGACGAACAGGATACAGCCTTAGGGAGGTGGCGAGATAAATAAACGCACAACATGTAAACTGTTTAATTGCACCCGCTTTTCAAGGGAGCTGGAAAATAGTGATACTTTTTTGCTTACGTGTCACATCTGCAAGCAAGGATAGTCGGATGGCAGCACATGTTACTACAGTCCAATTCATTGCGCGTACTCGTCTCTCTCTATCTCTCTTTCCCTTGCTCACACTAAATTCTATATATTTTCTGCCATTTCTTTTTTCATTATTTCTACGTTGTGCCAATTCCCTGTGAGACCATCCAACCGAGGACGAGGCAGACTGGAGCCAAACCGTTCTTTTTTTTCATTCATTTAAATTCTCTGGCAAAACTGAGAAACTGTCAGCTTAGGAAGCAATGAAAATTAATAATATGAATTAACAGTTGTAAACTTATGAATCAATTATTTGTATTTGTAAATATATTATCAATTAATTACTGTTATTTTCAAAGTTATTACAATATACAAAATTTAATTTAACCTTTTGGATTGGAACTAATGTTGTTAAATGTAGATGTTCCTTGTATTGTACAATATCATAGTAAATGGGAAATTTTGGTAGGAAGACCGATTTCTCCATATAAATTCGAATTAAGTTTGTTATATATTGCGGGCAATGACAGCTTGTCTTGAATGGCCATTCTCAAGATGAATTCGCATTTGAAATTAGTTTAGTAATACCCAAACATGCAAATACTAATTAAACATGAATTTAAAATATAATCACTTTTCACACGATTACACTTTAATGAGATAAAAATATAATTATCATTTATCAATTTACAAACATTGCTTTGATTTCGCAGTAATCTACAAATAATTGATGTCAATAACTGAAAGGTTGCAGATTTATTGGCGATGATGTGGGGATTAGCAGGATTCATTACATTTGGATAAGTAATGCCCACACATGTGTGCGAGTCGATAACGTAATGTGATCAATAAACGTTGTGCACACGGATTTAGCAAATTGAAATTGAAATGCCAAATTTTAATAGGAACATAATTCAGTCATTTCAACTGTCAATCAAACTAATTAAATTTTAATAATCCAGTGATATAAATTATATAAAGACAAAGGGAGACTATAATAAATAGCGGAATAATTTGCCATTGGAAAACTTTCAAATAACAAAAAAAAAATCAATGGTGTTATTCCTTTTAGTCTATTGGGGGTTTCACTATTGTCAAGTAAGTGTATATAAAATGTAGAAAGTATTCAAACATTACTATGGTGTCATCCGTTTGGCAATACTTATTCAAATGAAGTAATGGAAAATTAACGCTAGAAAATACAGTCTCTTCACATTTTAAAAGATACATATGAAAGTTGAGAATATAAAATCTATTAGAAAACCAATATCAATTGGAAATACTATTGAAAATATTGTAATGAAACAATGGGAAAAAGTCTTGGTTTATGGCAATTGCCTAATGCCCCTAGACACCTGCCACATTGTCTTCATTGATAATCTGGGTGCAGACGATCTTCAGTCCTATTAACTTCCCTTCGTAATTAGAACAGATTAACATGATGCAACAGTATATAGACAATATATCAATGGTTTATATGAATTAATATACAAATACATATATCGTATCAGATTAAAATGATCTGCAAAGTTTTTTCAATTACACTATTTATAAAGACCATTGCAACGTTTTTCCTCTAAAAGCATAAAAAAGGTCTCAAATTAACTGTGTTTTCTTTAAACCTTATACAAGGAATGACTCATGATATTAAAAAATCAAAATATATTTTTTCCTAATTAAAGTATGCTTTTAATTTTTTTTGCAATGTGCAATATAAGAACTACAGGCGGCATGAGGTAAATAGTTCTTTAACAATAGTTTGACTATTTTGACTATTGCAATAAACATTATTATTACTCTAAGAAAAAGTATAATTTATTCTTATTTTCTTAATTTAAACGTAGAATTTAATATTTAATAAATTTAATACAAATTATAACTTGAACGATGTGCAGAAAATCGTTCTGTTTTCGTTCTGTTGTGAAAATTGCGTATTAAATTATGAACGAGTCAAAGAAAACATCTGCGAATTGGATTGTGAAAATGTTTTGCACCGCATTTACCTCATCGCCGTCCTATATATTTTCCAGCGCCGGCAAATCCAGCGCTTGTTGGCACCGAAATTTATGCATCCCAAATTGAACAACAACTCTTACCTTTCATCTTCCTAACATGTTATTTTTTTAACTTTATTTTCTGTTATCATCCATTTGCGACTATCTATTTATCTCTAGTTTTAATTTATGTCCGTTCCGTTCGTTGATCGAGCAAATACATAGATTCGGTTGTGAATATGTACGAGGTGGAGAGAGAGAGATATATACGAATCGAGGAAGTATTGATTATGTAAATATCCTTTTTGGCAGAACTCACCGACTACGTTGAGCTGAATGAAGATGCTGGTGGACGGATGCGACGATACTTGGCACTCGTATATACCGGCATCCCTCTGCTGCACGTACTTTATTTGGAGCGTCCAGTCCTGAAAAAAGGAGAGAACCTGTATCAGGTTATATTTTTCAGTAATAACTGTCACGTGCGCACACAACAAACAGAATAGAAAACGAAACAGGAAAAAGAACGAGGAGCGAACGATAATTCGGTCTTTGATGTGAGCGCTCCTTTTTACTTCTCCACTCTTTCATTTCAAATGAGAAACTACAAAAGGCGACATTTTATTCAATAATCGAATTCACAAGAAAAAAAAATGAAACAATTCACAAGGATCCGAGAATACATCAATTAAAATGCGATTAAATATCATGATTTGTGGCCCTTTGTAAGGGTTTATTCAGGGCCGACGCGATTTTCAAGTTGTGCACGACACAGGGACGACATGCTTGAGAGCGCTGTTAGGACCGTTCATTAAATCTCCATTACTCGCGCGGAGTCTGTGAGTCGCCATTATATACCAACCATAACTTTTAAATCTGGAAAGGTGTGGCAACCTCGACCTATGTACCTTCTACATACTGACTGACGATATGTGAAAGCACATCACACCATTTTAGAGTAATGCGTGGAAGGTCCACAGAAAAATATTCATAGCAGAGTCAGACGCCTCGCAAGTAGTGGTTTTACTATATTTTACATCATTATCATTTTTTTAAAATAATAAATAGTGCTTAAAATAACATATAATGAATGTGAAATTAATCATCGTTTATATGCATCGAAAAAAAGTTTTTGATCCAAAAATGAACCGTATGCAAAGATTTTACGAAAATTAGCAATCAGAAACAAGTGTAGTGTAGTGATGATGAAGATATTTTTTTTACATTTTCATAAAATGAACATGCTTATATGTTTAATTAATTCCCCAATCTAATTAATTATACATTTATATAAATTAATTACTAACTTTATATTAAACGGGTTTTTTTAGAAAAAAAAAACGGTTTTCAAATAAACAAAATAACAGAGTTTGAAAGTATTTGTGTTATATTTGAACACATTAAATGTGCGTAAACTTAGAAATGAATATGCAAAAATCTAGCAGCGAAAGAAGGGTATCTACTCGTATTCGAAGCAAAACAAATCTATCTCACTTTAAAGATTCATTAAAGAATATTGTATAGAACCTATTTATCTTGTCTTCTATTATATTTTTATTTTTCTTATTGTATTCCAAATCTGATTGGAGTCCGGCCAAGGAGGATTGTATCGATCTGTCTTACTCTCTTTCCCTCGTCTTCTTCCTTAACGCTCCTTGCTTCCAGTTCCTTTCATCCAGAAACTCCTTGCTCGTCTGATTCATGCTTTCACTAACAATGAGGTACTTAGCCACAAGCTAGTTGGCAATGTGAACAACGAAATCGCAACCCTTGCCCTCGATTGTACATTTTCAAGTATTATTCTGCATCGGGGAGAGATTTCCAAGAGTGGCATAGATAGACCCGCAGAAATAAAACTTTAATGATTCTCAAAACTCTTTTATCGCAGCCGCAATGAAACTTTCGCACTCGAATTAAAAAAAAAGAATCCATTGTACAATTTGCATAAAATATATTAAATTGCAGAAACAAAACTTCCATTTACTCAAATCTTAAATAGAAACACATGGTAAAAATCAGTAGCGTCGCTAATGTCGGTCAACCGTGCGAATGCCAAACAGTGTTATGTTTCTTTTTTTATTTAATGAGGGCCCTACTCCATATTTATACTCGGGGCCTCGAAATCCAAAGGACGACACTGGTTAAAATGTATGTGTAAAATTGGTATTACAAGATGTATTATTATTATTATAGATAGCTTACTGTGTCCTAATACATCTCTAAGCATTAATACACGCAGAAATACTTGTAACTAATCATCCACACAGTGTCTGATTCTTTTAAAAAGTAGAAAAAAAACAACGTTGTAATGACATTTAGATAGCGTAAAGGAATCGCCTCTCTTAGTTTTCCTTACAACGATTGAATTATGTCCCTCAAAGTTTCTCCACCAACTTCCCAAATCGAATTACATTTTCATCCACGTCCCCCCCCCCAGCACACACCGCTACACACATTTTGTTTTCTTCAGTAGTGTCTTTGCTATTAATCTTATTTCCATTATTTGAGCTGTCCAATTGTAGGTCCTAACTTTTTTCACTCTTCCGTCCTTTTTATTTTATCCTTTCACTTTTTTTTTCATATTGTTATTCTTTTTCAGGGCACCGGAAAAATAGGCCTGGCGCGTATTGATTAAAAGCAAGATTTACTTCCTGCCCATTAATCAAACTTAGTACAATTTCCAATTTCTGTCATTCGATAAATCTCTTTAATCGCCTCACTCCGACCCGCTTTTCGTTTGGAATTGCCAATGCGGATTGATCATTAATAAAATCGCACAAAAAAAAATAAAATAGATTGAAACAAAAGGAAAAGAGAACAAAGGAAGAAAGGTTTTGGCGAAAATACGATGTTGATCGGAAGAAACGGCAAGCGAAACTCACTTAAATGTTGATACCATATTTATCAATTAAAGTGGTTCACATCGGGGATGTTAATATTAAATTTTATAAGATTTGTTAACCTATGGGTCGAAATTTAAATAAATTAATAATTTTTACAAGTACAACAAATTGATTTCTTGTATAAATCACAAAACGTTGCTGTTTTCTTGTCGCTCTTGTTTGAACAAAAAAAAACACCTTTATTTTGTATATATAATTTGATACTAATAACAATTACGCATTCTTACAGAAGTGCATAATTATAAAATCCAATTACAGTGGAACCTCCATTAACGAGCACCTCGCATAACGAACATTTCGCTTAACGAGCAAAATGAATTGTAAGAAAAATCGCTTAACGAGCGACGTTTCGCATAACTAATGATGATGTCGAAAGATGTACCGGATTGCGCGCCTGCTACATCATTTTTAAAACTTGTGTACACATATTATGTGTACTTTTGAATATGTTTCACTATACGAGTAAAAATCTGGAAATTTTGAAAGGGATTAAACTCGTTCAGCAAGGTTCCACTGTATATTAATTCCAATTTATTTCCAAATCACTGGGTAGAGTTAAAAAAAAACTGAAGAGGTCAGACAGTGAGTTTCGCACTTAATCCCTGCAGTTTATTTCATCTCTTTCTTTGTGTTCGTGTGCTCTTCCTATTTTTTTTCTGTTCAGTGACGTTGGAAAAAGGTATTTGCATAATGGGGTAAGGTAATAAAGAAGACTTTTTTATTTGGTGTTTAAATTTTGTACGGCCAGTTTGCTTCACGGATTAATCCCGAAACTTTTCTCTTCTCCATTACTATTTTTTTGCGATTCTCTTCACTCTTTCTCTCTATACATTTCGTGGAAATAATAAAAAATACTTCGTTATTTATTATTATGATTCCTTTTGAGGATCCTCAATGTTTTTTAGATAGTACTAATGAACGTATACATTTATCTGTCCACGTAGTCTGGATTGAGAGCTGAGTAAAATCGTAATGAACATGACTAAACTCCTCTTATTAATCCTCCAAACACACACTGATCCGAACAGCGTTCACGCACACACAAAAGTTCTTTTATTACGTGGGGCTTTCTCTGCTGCGCGTTTCTTAATTTGGATGAGGGCTTTCCCTCAGGAAACAGAAGAAGAGAGAATGCGTGTCAAAAACAGGGACGTTAATTAAGAAGAGCTTCGGTTCCTTTTTTCTTTTCTCTCATCCGTTTTTGTACACATCGTCTTTTTATGGTGTAGTGTGCATAGAACATTAAGGAAGTTCAATTAAAACTTTAATGGCGGTGCATTTAAATATTGTACGGATTTATTGCGCGATTGCGCTTTATTGCGATGTTTAACGCGCAATTATATAAATTCAGACGGTGAGACGGAGGGAGCTCAGCAGATTACTGGATTAGCTCCGTTTTAATTAGCTTAAGTAGTTTCGTACTAGTTTCGAGAAAATGTGAAAAGTTTTCAGCATCGCTTCCACCGTATATCGATTCTATTATCTTCGAGATTCGGTTCCATTTCAAGATTCCTTCGAATCAGATGTCAATAGATAAATATTTGTTTTGGATCTTTGTAGGATTGAACAAAACCTCTCCAATCTTAGTATATAATCAAATTAAATATTTGGAAATGGTACATAATCAATAAAATGTTGGACCACTGTTGCTTAATGTAGAATATTTTTTTTATATTTCATATTTTTTTCACTTTAATCCTGATTGCATTTACGGCATTAAACTATGAGTACATAAACTAAGCCGATTATAGATATTTTTATAGTTTTTGGATTATACCTGACATAATTTACATTTACTAACTCTAAATATAAACGGAAATCAAACGAAATAAAAAAAAAACATACACATTGTTTGACAATAATAAAGACTATTTGGCCTAAAATATTTTACAAGCGCGCAAAATACTGCAACATTGTTATGCATGGATACGTAAAGTGTGTCCCAAAATGAACTGATATTTGAATTTTCTAATAAAATACATTTTTTATTTGATAATATTTTTTCTTTATTAATAAGTACAGACATGGAAGCCATATGTGATACAAATTTTATAACAATTGAACGCTCCTACCTTGGCAGCACATGTTCACTCTTTTGGTGAAATTTTCCATAATATGTTGTCTTTCCTTAAGATGTATAATCTATCCCCAAAGAACATGATCTTGGCGGCCAATTCACGTAACCTTTCTTCGAGATAAGAAGACCATTAATTTTTCTTGCAATAACTGTATGGTTTCAATGCACTTTCTTGTGAAAAATCATCTCACAGTAACGGCATTTTCATTTTCGAAGACGTATGGTTCAATTAATCTCCTAGTCCAAAATCATAAACTTTTTTTTACAATTTCCAGGCATTGTTCGATAGTGAACTTTAGCACATCTTAACCTCAATGTTTATTATTAACGGCATATAAAAATCTCTACTAAGAATATACCGCAAAAAAAGGCGGCAAATTTAAAATATGTACAATGTTTTGTCCTTATATCAATTGGAAATATATTGAACTCTAGAGAATTTATAAGTTATACAATATAATGCAATTATATAATTTAAAGTTGATAATAAAGTTATATGTGCGTTAATATTGGACCGTTAGCAGTGCAATTTCTATTTTAGTAGTGAGCGAGGAAGTGACGTGATTAAACTTCTCCGGCATAGCGCTTGGGAATTCTGAAGAAATTTGTCGATGTTATGTGTGGGCGGGAAATCAATTTGAGGAGTAGGAAGGAAGGCGGAGGCATTCGATTAAGTGGAATAATGGTTAGGTGGTTGAATGTGTGCTAGAGATAGCATTAAGTGTGGACGAGCATCGAATATAGATGGCATCAATAATCCATGAGAAAACTGCGAACACGTTTAAAACGTTTTCGTTTTTTTCTTCTTCTTTCGTATGCAAGACTATAAAATGATTGCCTTTCTAAGAATAAGTTACATAAAGCTTTACCTCCGAATGCTGTAAGTGGATGGCTTGGAACCTCTCGTCACTGCTGTAAGTTGTCAGACCGACAGTAAGCAGATGGTAATCCTTCCTTCTTATCCAGGAGACCTGAGAAAATAAATTCTAATTAAACGTTGCATGAAATAATAAAATCGTTTTTTTTGTAAGCAAATGTATCGGGTACGTTTAAATGTTTGAATGGAACCAATTTATTTGATATTCAACGATAAAAATCATGCGTTAAATGATCTTTTGTTCACGTTGAATGGAGTAAATGAGTATATAGATTTCACGCGAATTCAATAAAAAAAATCGTTTTGTATAACAACATTTTATTTTATTTCTGTACTTTCTTAACAACAGTATTTTTAAAACATGTTTATTCTTAACTTATTCAAGAATTTTATAATTAAAAGCTAATTTTAAGATCATAAAATTAATTACCCTATTACACATACTCTTAGATATATTTATTAAGAGATTTAGATGGTTTAAGTATAATCTAAGTCCATAAAAAGGGCAATAACAAATAATGATCTACACAAATCTGCTATTGTTATGTATAGTCTAAGACAGTGATGGCGAATCTATGATACTCGAGACATTTTAGGTGATACGCCAAAAAATATTATAATTTATGTTCATCACATATGAAAAAAATCTTGAAAATCAACCTCCCCCCATCATATATGTATCCAAGTAACACGGCATCCGAATAAAGCTATGTTTTTCCTAAAACGTTCGCTATTAACCGGCTAATATGATGATTAAATTACCAGGTAAACTTTAACCAAATGAAATTTCCATTTATTGTGAAATCCACGACTGTCGAGTGAAATATGTCTGATGAGTGATGAGACATAACATTCGATTTGACTCCTGCTTGAACGTTTTAATTCTCATAAAGTACTGGATCTGAATATATATAAAATTAACTAACGAATTAAATAATAAACATAATTCCAAACTTTCAGATTTTCTGACTCAAAATTATTTTTTTTAAATAACTCACTTTATAAAATAACTTACTAACACTATCTGGAATGATTTAATTAAGTGAGAGAAATGAAATTTGTTAATACGGATTCATACATCCAAAAGAAATAGTTTTTTTTATTTAGACAAGAACGAAAAGAAAAAAATAAAAAACATCAATTTGTTCTACTTTCACAAAAAATATCCCAGACTGTTTTGACCAATAAAATCAGCATTAAATGATGTTAAATTCATTAAATAATAAGAATAAGTCCGTGATTGTTGAAAAATTAATAATTTGTTGTATTTTTTTAAATATTTAATTAAAGAGGCATTTTGACCCATACCTTGTGTTTTCAAGTAGTGTAAAGACAAAAAGTATTCATACATGTATTAGAAACTTCCTTTCCATTAATATTTTTGTCGGAATATGCAAAGCTATTACGGCAATAAAAGAAGACTATAATATAAAATGTAGTATAATAAATCGCTTAATACAAGTATACGTTGGAATTTAATTTTTGCGAAATATTTTAATCCCGCCGTTTACCATGTGAGCGAAATTAGAGGGATTAAAATGGCATAAAACGTTGATTTTTACGCTATCGCTTTGCAGCTCTAACGCGTGCTACCATCGCCATCATAAATATTATATGTATTTTATGCTAATTTTTAATGCGGTTCCGCTACCGCAAAATTTCATTTTAAATGACAGATTTATGGATTAAATTTTTAAAAGGGCCGCGCATTAAGGGGATCCCATAAAAATTGGCGAGCGCGTTTCATAATATTATACTGAAACGGAACGTGCCATGCACTCACTTTTTTATTATACTGCACAATTTTATTTTTGCCGTTTTTTGATTTTTACTTAAAAAAAAAGGTAACATAAATGATAATGTTTCAATACAGAACTAAATTCTAAAGATGTCTTTTCAATGTGAAAAACTGTAATAATATTTCAAGTTTTAAGCATCTTTTAAAATAATTTTCTATATTTAGGAATATATACAGTATTAAAATAATGATTAGAAAAATTAAAACAAATATATTTATATATTTGATTCCTTTTTCCTTATGTGTAAGTATTGCAATAAAAATATAGTTATGATGATTAGATAATATGATATGAAAGTTATCGAAATATTTTAATGGACAAATTCAATAAAATCATAACAAATTATTAATTGAAAAGTAAAAGCATTGAATATTAAATTCCATGTTTACTTCTACTTTTATAAAATAAGTAATCTTTCAGTTGTTGTTTCTTATTTAATTTATTTAGATCTAAGACATTTGGTTTAGAAATGAGTATACTTCGTACAGGTTTGTGCTTGTTCTATGATGATGCAGTGGCGACGTAATCAAGATGCAAGTACAGTGCGCGTTGCGAAACCGATAGCTTGTTGCAGGGGTGATAAACAAGGCGAAGGGTGTATCGGGTAAAAGATCATAGGGACGAGTTTATCGAGCGTGTAATCCAATTTCCAAGTTTCTTATAACCAATTTGGGGATATTCCATAATCGTGCGGGACGGAAGGATACTGCCGTCGGCTACCAGGGTTATAAAATTCATTTCACTTTATAAATTTACAAATTTTTATCCTGTGCAAAGGTGGCAACGGACACTTTATGACTGCTACTCAATTTGGTTTCTTCAGATTCTTCTGTATGTCATGCGGTTTCAATATAAAACTATTGAAATCGGTAAATTAAGATAATCAGGGCAGAAAGACCTATATGGTCAATGGCCATAGTATCAGTTAACTTTTTTTGAAATTAGATATATTTATTTTGTTTTATTATTACTGTACAGTGGAACCTCGCTTAACGAGCACCTTCGTTTAACGAGCAAAATGAATTGTAAGAAAAATGACTCGCTTAACAAGCGACGTTTCGCATAACGAGTGACGATGAGAAGAGAAGTCTCGGATTGCGCTCCTGCTACATCATTTTTAAAACTTGTGTGCATATATTATGTGTATTTTTGAATATGTTTCACTATACGAGTAAAAATCTGGAAATTTTGGAACGAATTAAACTCGTTAAGCGAGATTCCACTGTATATGTTTTTTGTTGAACGACTGATGCAATATACATTAATATTATTATTATGATAATAAATAAAGGTAATTTCGCTAAATTATGAAAATAAACTAACAAGATAAACATTTTAATGATTTGCGCTGCAAATTTAGTATAATAAGGTCGAAGGAAAATGTTCCGTTATGCTGAGCAAACCAAATATATACAGAAATAATCCAGTCATGTGTGTATACAGATAAATCCCGTAAATTGCTATGCTTTTTTTATTATTATTTTTTTTTTCCTAAGCCAATTTGGTTGTGTATTTTGGCATAGAGATACATGTACGTTTGGGCTTTCCCTATTTAGCTTTCTTGTTTATAAAAGCGCTTCCATCGAATTGGCTCCATAAATTACCTTAATAGCCGAATGGAACTCTGAACTTTGTAAACCCTTACAGCAACTTTTATGTTCCACATTAAAAATGCAAGCACGGGGCGCATTCACGGACTTCCTAATACGTTCTACGATCACAGCATTTTCTTTACAAACAACGCTTTCTTTAAACTACATACAAAACTTAATCTAAAATACATAACATAATATTTACCTTGCGTCAAAATTAACAAAAATATTAATTATCCTTAATAGTTTTTTAACGTCATAACTATTCTAATGAGATAGCTTTTATAACATTATTTTATGATAATGATGCGTATATAGTCAATACGAATCTATATGCCTATTTATCATTAAAGCGATTTAGGTTTTCACTTTTGTCAATGTTATAATTTCTTTCTTATGTCATTTGAAAGATGTCACTTAAAAGCCAATTGTGCATAATTAAGGCAATTAAAGAAAAATGACATCTTTAGTAACTTTGGTAAGTTTGAAAAGATCTTTGAATTGTTTTACAAAAAGATTAGATAATAAAGAAGTTAAGTACACGTAAGTACGCGTAAGTATTCCGTCAATCTATGTCAATAGAATCGCCCAAATTTACGTTACAAATCTTAAATGACAATTTCTTGCTAGGCTTTCAATAACATTATTCTCCATTTACTTTATATGTGATCCATAGAGTTATATAATGCAAAACTGAACAAATTTTCATAATTGTAAATATTACAAATATGACACATAGTGGAAATATTAATAATGTATGTACTTTATGTGAAATTCAGATTGAAATAAATGTTTAATAAAAAGTGTTCTTACCATTCCATCGCCAATGTTGATAACGACGCAAGGAACTAGTGCAGTGGATCCAGTTTGGGAAGTAACAATGGTGCTATTCTCTGTCGCGAAGTGGACAGGAGTGTTTTCGAAGGACGGGAAAGAGGCCCCAACATCGTTGAAGTCCTCCTCATGACCGACCACTCCGACGGCAACAGTGCCCTCAGCATCTGCAAATCAATCACATACACCACTACAAATTACAAATTGCTCCAGTCTTCGTATCTTGTCTAGACTACGTATCTTGCCTTCGTGCGAGGCAAAATTCATCCCGACCGAAGAGAAACATCAATTTCCCGTCTGGCAAGAACGCGATCCATTTATAATTTCATGATTGATATTCGATAAATCCCAACTAATAATAATGCATTTGATAAATCGTCATTTAATACGTCTTTTCTTTTCTTCTTCTCGGGTTCCTTGTAAAAGCCAGAAAGTTCTGAACTAAGCGAATTTTCTTTCGATCGTTTATATTATTCTTTTTTTTTTCTGTTGTTTATATTCCTAACGTCGGCTGGGAATCGGCGAAATTGATATCGAATAGAAGTTTTGGCAATTAAATAAAGTTCACAATACGAAATTTATTTTACGTTCACTTAGAACCGTTCTGGCCGTGCTCCAACCTCGTACGAAGCTAAAATTATTGCGGCGGACAACATTTTTATAATAACAATAATATTTTCATTTGCTGACCGAAACATACGGTCAAATAATGAAAAAAAAAGCAAAACAAAAAGCATCCGAATTTCCGCTTCACATTGCACCAATAAAATTTTATCTAACGAGCCACAAAAATGAGGACAATTGTTGGAAGGAATTTTATGAAAAATGCTAAAACCTACCATATAGTATTTCGAATAAATGCAAAATATTGAATCTTGTTAATATTTTACAATATATTTTTGTACTTCTTCGTTGAAGATACCACTTCTTTGTCGGGAGCCTTAATTGAATTCATTTGGACTTAATTAACTGTCTATACGCATTATCTTCTTCGTATTTGCGTAAAATACTAGAATTCAGGTAAGTATTAATTCTAACGCAGATTTACAAGCTTTGTTCATATTCCTTTTTCTTGTATAAGCATAAGCTTACATTACAATATTAATGTTTTAACTTCTAAATCTTCAAACTATAATTATTTTTTATTATACAATTTTATTTTAATATAACTTTTAGTTAACAAAGTTACCATTTTCTTCAGAATCTAGCCAAATGGCTTTTTACGTATTTTTCTTCGCTTTTAATATTCTGAAACGAAATGAAATTAGTGGAAGCAATTTCCTCGAGTGTGAGTTTTTTTTATACGCGAAAGAAACCCACGAACGTGGAAATTGCGCTTTAGTTATTTAGAAGAGATGACGTTCGAAATGGACTCGGGTTTCAGCCGGAAGGATATTTTTTTGAGCTCGTTTTCTTCCTTGTAAATATTTTTTTATATGGTATTTCTGGTTCGTGAAAGAGAGACACGTAGGAAATGTAGAATGGTAGACAATTTCCGGTGGGGAGATATTGGCCCGGACTGCAGTTTCCGACCGCCGTCCAGGAAACCCCTTTTCCCATACCAAAAGGTTAAAACGGCAGAAAACATTCAAATAAAACGAAAATCTACGAGCCGCATGGATTTGTTGCGTGGGCGAGCAGAAACATATCGAATTACCTGTTTATCAATGTGTAATATTTGTTTTTAACCGTGGGCGTTTATTCAGTTTCATACAAATTCAAATCTACTTTAACCATGACTCGGTGCAGTTCAATAATTTATTTGCTCGCAGTCCTAGCTAGCGGACTATGTGATTTGTATATAGCAAGTAAGTGTTATTTTGTTATTGATAATTTATGATAATTTCTAAGTTTTTGTTTTGGAAAGATGAATGCAATGAAAAATATTGTTTGGAGAAACCCTTTAAGTTGCCAGATACAATGGTACATGGCAATAAAACGTACTATTTCAACAAGTTATCTAAAGTAAGTTACATAATCATCCAGTTAAAACCAGTATATAAATATTTTTTTAGCTGAATTGGTTCAATGCTGCTTTAGCTTGCAAACGTTATAATATGCAATTGGTCACTTTGGATTCATACTCGGAGTTTCAAAATGTGAAGGATCTGATCATAGAGTCAGGTAGAATTGGCCAAACTAATTGAAAAACATGTATTTAAGTTTACTAAATTTTAGTTGGGCTTAATGGCAATATGCATATCTGGGTCGGAGGTACTGATCTGGCCGAGGAGGGGCGTTTCACTTGGATCAATGGTAAAGCTTTTGAACTTGCACTAAACTGGGCTCCCACGCAACCAGATAATGCTAAAAAAATTGAGCATTGTTTAGAGATTGGATACCATTCCTATGGCATAAAATTCAACGATCTTCCCTGCAACACTCTAGCTGCTTTCATTTGTGAAAGCGAAAGAGTTTGCGGAAATGCCGTCTAAGACTTCAATAAGAACGTTTCAATTTATGTACTAAATATTATTTCAGTTTGAAGTTGTTATGTATTAAGAATAAAAATATTATTACATTTTATTATTTTTTATTCTATTAAGGATATTGTATTGTATTTGTTAGGCCTACAACTTTATTCTAAATTATTAATACGCATATGTCACGTATCCATCGAATATACAAATGTACACTACTTGTGTATGATTAATTTGAATAGCTTGTGGAACATTACCAAGAACGATTACTCTCTATACTAATCGTATAGTTTGTGAGTAGAGCATAGGTAAATAAACGGTTAGAAATTTATGTTTGTATAATATAATTTGGTTTTAGTTGATGGGTCTAGGAAGGAACACTTACTTTTTAGTTATTAACTTATGAGAAGCATATAACTCTTAGTTAATAATTTATGAGATCAACACATGTATAGTTGACTTTTCAATAAAATCAAATGTATGATAAATAACTGTTATAAGACGTGTGTAAATTAATTTCATATTATGTGATTTGCTGAGATATTTACGATGGAAAGTATATGTTTGCATTTTTAACAAGCTTATATATATTGATTCCAGTATTGTGAAGTCGCATAAAGGCAGTTTACAGTATACGCAAGTAAATAGAAAAGGCGATTGTAAAAGCCTCAAGCTATGTAAATACATCTTCCTTATAATGCGGTAAGTAAAGATGCATTATCGTCTTACATACAGTATATTGGATTTTATAATTAGAAACCTTTACATGGAACCATCGAGCTCAACAATTAAGGTACACTGTACGTCGCTATTATCATCTATAATACTATTTTCTTATGAAATATGGCTCAAGGCTTCTATGGCTTGCTTACACATCTCATTGTTGAAAGAAGATGAATAGGATATTCCGATACCTGGTTTTTGTTTTGTTCAAAGCTAATCACTTTTGGCTCATTAGTAGCGTCACGGTATTTCGCTTTCATTCGATAAAGCCGACGGAGGAGAGGAAAAAAGTACAATGCCGTTAATATATCTCTTCTGATAACTGTGCAAAGGCAAGCTTTGCGTATCAGATTCTGCATTAAAGCTAACGAGGTCGCTCCCATTCGAAGAGCAAATAAACAGCGGCTTAATATCATTACATCCATCCGAAGCTGGCGCTGCTGCAACAGCGTTAAGCCCTTATGTTAATGTGTTCCTGAAAGGAAGAGTGAACTAAAAAAAAAGCAATGCTCTGTTGCAGATTCACACAGCCATACATATAAAATGTATTTCTTTTCTTTTTTTAAATCCACGCACGGAAAATCACTCCAATCTTATGGACTATTAAAGCTCACAAAGAGATTTTATGGGTCAGTTTTAAACAACTGCAAAGATTTCTGAAGCCAAAAGCCGCACGTTGCCTTGGTAATACCGCGCGCTTAAATCTCATTGCCTTCAAACCATTTCACCAAACAGTTTCATTAAATTTTCATAAGCCGCTGTATGTTAACGACGTCGATATTATTCATACACGTTTTTGTTAATTAATTTGTGTTTTTAGCGAGATTATTTTCAATTGAATTTTGTATTTACACCGCTAATATTTTTTATATTTAACAATTCATCAAATAATTACAATTATCTTTATGTATTTATTTAATTTATGAAAATTGTAGCTAATTATCTTCATTCTTGTTCAAGTTCTACAATATAATGAATAAATATTTATATAGTCCATTTTCATAGATTATTAATCAAACATAACAACTATTATTTACTATCCAATTATGATGGATTTCACAATTCTATTGTCCTAAAAGTATTTACTTCATTGAAATGTATTCATTCCTAATGTAGATTGATAGATGTTATTGTGAAAAGCTGGTTCGAGTAGTGAATCTCAAAGTTCAAGAATCTATGGCATTTATTTGCAAGGCTACTTTGTGTCGGGTTATGTCTGCTTTGAGAACCTTCAAAAGAGGTAAATCGTTTGATTTGCCTATCGGAGTTCATTGCTCGCTTGAATAAATAGTAACACATATGTTCGTAATATATAATTGACTGAAAATTGTATACTTATCCAAAAATGTAATGTTCCTAATAATTATTTCATTAATTTATTAAATGATCGTAAATTAAAATATATAGCTTTCTTATAATTACTTAATTACAATTTAATAATCGTTCTAGTTTAATAAAACAGGTTAAAATATTATACATTATAAACCTTTTTCCATATTTTATAGTATGGTTAAGTATACAAGAGAAATTACTTTAATACTATTATATAAAAGTTTAAGCAAAATGTTAGTAAAAATTTTATTTTAAAGTGTCAGTCGCCGAGTTGTCGCGTATCCAAATGGAATATATGCATAATTAGTAAGATTTATAACGAGTTCCGCGCTTATAAAATGATGAAATAAGTTATTTATATTAAAATGTAAACATTTTTGTTAGATATTTATGTAACAGTAAATTATTTTAATTTACTTATAATATCTTAATTATAAATAAATATTTGTGGTTAATATTTTCAATAAGTTATTAATTGGTATTGAGTAAGTTATGAACGACTTTTCAAAGTTTTTCCAAGAGTCGAGGACAAGCTACGACGAAGGCGTTAATTAACTGTTGGTGTTCTTTGAGTGCCAGCGCCGAGAGCGGAAAGACGCGTACGCTTTTGAAAGCTCTCCCATAAATTGGGGGTGTATGCAGTTTATTAATTCCATTAATTAATTAAGACACGCTAGATTCCGAAGCAATTAGACGCCCCCGCGTTATTAATTCAAGGAATCGCAACGAGGAAAAAAAAATAGAGAGCGCGCAAAACGTAACGCTGCGATAGAGATGAAAAATTGCATAATGAAAAAAATAATAATGTAACTGTGGTCTCTTGGGAGCTGCATTGAACAATTAAATTACTTTCCACCACCGCCCACGACGACGTTTTAGCCATTCCAACGGAGATAATTAGAACTGCAAAATAGAGTTGATAATTTAATAAGTGAAATTACTATACAAAGAGCCACAACTGAGCATTCTTCATAACATAATTATGAGAGTAGCAGAAGTTTCCTAGATCAGACGATATCAAAGGCGTCCAATTAGGTCGTCGATGTTAAATAAAATATAAAAATTTAAATTGGTCAGTTCCACTTTGCCAGTAACGTTTTACTGGGTAGCTAGAGAAAGAATGTTAATTGGTAAAGTTTAATTGCAGAACTGGAAAATTTCGTGGAAGAATTGGAGCAATAGTTTCAACGCATCCGGATGGAAACTCAGCGAGAGCACCAGGAAACTAAGCACATAATGTACAGATTAAATTGCCCGAAAAGCTTGTTTTACAATCAACTTTGATTTTCCTATAAGAATGTAGTTGGCATACTTGGATGAACTTTACACATTAGATTTATTTAATGTTACAAAATAATATAATGAAAACAACGTTAAAATATTCTATCTGGTTAGACATTCTAATAAATAAAATAAAAATAACTTGAACTAGTGTATACAATTAAAGAAGATATTCATATATTTTTAAATTATGAGGAAATTGTACAAATTATTTTTGTTCAATTTCTCTTAATCCTTCGTCCCTTTGCGATATTTCGTAGAATCGTTACTCGCGTGGCATCTGAGAAATTCGTTTTTATGTTTAGTAATTAATTTATGTAAATATATAATTGTTTTGATTGAGGAAAAAATAAAACATATTACCTTCTAAGCATGTTTATTTTATAAAAATTTTAATTTTAATTTAATTTAATTCTTTTTAATCATTGCCCTTTTTTAAAAATGGTAAAGTAAAATATTATAAAATCACTGCTCGCCCAGCGTCTCATATACTCTGCCAAGAATATTTTGCTGTTAATCTTTCAACGCATTAACTCTAAAATGGCATGAAGTCAAGGTTGCACCACCTTTTTAGTTTTAAAAGATATGGTTGGTTTGTACCCCTCGCAGTGGAATTGTGAATCGAAAGATGAGCAACATGACTAAAGTATTTCAGTGTATCTAATAATCTACTATAATTATAATATGCTTCTTTTCAATTAATTTATCAAGATAGTTTTTTTCATATACGATTTCAGTTTCGTATTTATCTTCAAAATTAATATGATATATTTTTTTTTAATAATTAATTATTTTCTCTTATATATATTTGCAAAAACATGCAATATTTCGAAGTATACCTAAATAATTTAAAATAAAAAGTTTTTGCGAATAGACAACGTTTCGGTTTCTTTCTTGGAAAATATTCTCCTGCATATGAAATGAACGGTATTTTCGTTGACCCCAAGTTTAGCGTGCTTCTGACAGGGGGCGGGTATATTTTAATAACAAAGTGAGCATTACTGGAGCAACACACGTACTCACGTGTGTGTTTGTGTGTGTTGTGAGTGTGTGTGTTTTACTGCGAGCGGTTTAAAATGCGGAGCAGCTGCCGCCCTCCTTCGCCGCCCTCGGGCCTCCCTTTTTAGTACACGGCGAACGTCATCTTGCGTTACACGAGCACGAAAAAGTCTGAACACGCGCACGCACCCCATTCCCTAGGATTAACTTCTTCCGCGCTATTTAGTCATGTTGCAAAAGTGGATTTATGGTAATGCGAAACGAATAAATAATGAAAGGAAAAAGAAAATCTTTGCCGAGAGGGTATAAAGGGAAACGAAATATCAAGAAAAGTAGAATCGAAATTTTCGGGGCGGGAAAGGAGTCCTTGCTGTCTCAATTTGTCACGGCCTGTCGCGATATAAATCCTTGGGACGCTACTACACTTCCATCATCGAAAGAGCATTCAAATATTGTAAATTTTCCCATTTTAATTTTATTTAGAAATAGAAAATGTTGTTTCCGTAACATTCTCAGAGGAGCTACGCTTGAACAGTTTATTTTAAAATGAATTGATAGATGGAGTGGGCGTTCCTTTAAATGAATTTACATTAATTAAGAAGTACAATTGTGCTCCTTTCTATAGGCACTCAAGTTTTAATGGAAAACTACTGCTTGCGAACAAAATTTGATTTACTTCACTCTTCTTCCATCCTACACTGCGTAAAGAGAAATGTTATCCTGAACGCATTCTAATTAGTTTTTGCCATTTAACCATTTAAAAAAAATCTT